CTTCTCGTCGCACCACACCCCGTCCTCGTCCCCCATGCACAACGGCTGGAAATTTCGGATGCTAACACTTCGCAAAGCCGTACTACCTTGAGCTCATTGACGAGTTCTTCCCTAACAAGGTCATCAAGTGGTAGGGGCTGGACCTCTAGGCAGTCTCTGCTCCTTCAAGACCAACCCGGATCGCTGCTGCGTCTGGGATCGAGATTCTGTTCTCCTTTTCTAGGCTGCTCTCCGTTTTTTTCCCCTTGGTAATAGGGTGATGCTATCTTTCCTTCTGGTTCCTTGGGATGGAGTTTTGGGACACACGGCACGGTTTCAACAATTAGGGTTATCAAAGCAAAAAAAAACCGCCTCGTTCAAATGACGGACGGCAGGTTTGGGATTACGATTATACACCTAGGTTGTTATGGTTAAAGAAAATAAAGACCATTATCCAGCCCTTGTAGGCAGTCATGCACGGAAAGGAAACATGATGGTGACATGAATCCTGCCACTCTGGCAGAAATAATCCTCCCTTGCCTTGCGTAATTACGGCCCCCGCTCTCCCTCCAGCTTTCTTGCCCCCCAGGCAAGGAAATCCCTCCCCAGATTTACAAGTCTCTATTCACTCTTCGCTTTGGAGATCTCTCATGTAGAAGTCTAGGCACTGCACGCAAAAACGACCTTCTTATAAATCACCCAGCTTGGGTGTTCAAGGAATTGCCAAATGGTACTATTTTCTGGATTCCACCGACTTACATGCCAGCTATGATGATGCGAGAACGGAATGTCATCAGGGACCTCGACCATCGCCTGAGACTGCGGTTCTATCAAATAGAACCCCCTGTCCCCTGGAAGCTTGGACACCGCCTAGGCGATCAAGTGTCATCCACGTCGCCGTACTCGTATGTCTCGTAGGCCTCGAACTTGCGCTTCTGGTCTCGCTTCAGCGGCCGGAGCCACTCCTCCATGCCGGGCGGCCAATACACCCGGCCGTCGGGGCCGCCCATCCCAATATCCTCGTCTGCCATCTGCGGCCGGACCGCCGCCGCCGCCTCTTGTGCTACCCTGTCAGCATCTTCCCCTTGTTTGCGTGCGTCGTCTGCCGACAGCTTCTGTCCCGCCTTGTCGTCATTCTTGTTCCGCCTTCCGCCGCCGCCTGTTTGCTTCTTCCTTGCGTCACTTGCAGCCCGCGCCGACCGCGGCGGCTCATCCGGCTCTGGTTCATCCACCCTCTGGTGAGGGATGATGCAACTGATGCGCTCGTGCCCCGGCAGGCGAAAGTTGCGCATGAGTTCAAAAACAGCCTGCTCCTTGTCTTTGGCCTCGATCATGAGGTCCATGTCGGGCGGGCATGGCGGCAGCGTCGCGACGCGGGGGCTGTGCTTGCGCCTGTCACGCGGTGCCACCGCCCCCGGGCATTGCTCGCTGTAGTGCATCTTCATCGTGATGGCTTTGCGCTCCCAAGTCCTTCTGATGCGTGGCATCAGCGGCACAAGGTCCGCGGTGCCTTCACGGCACTTGTCAGGGTCGAAGATGATGTTGTGATGATGATAGTCCAAGACCATAGGGATATTTAGTTCCTCGCATAGCGGGAGCAGGTCATGCACCGACCATGATACGTCGTCGTTCTCTAGCACGAGCCGCCGCTTGATCGAATCGGAAAGTCTTTTGTAGTTATGCCGGAAACGGTCCAGAGTCGCCGCCTTGTCACCATAGACCCCACCCAGGTGCAGGATCATGACGGCATCACGGTCCAGCTGGTCAGGAAGCTTCAGAAGCGTGAGCATCTCGTCGTGATATTCGAGGTCCCGCACCGCCGCGCTTATAACTTCGGGGCGGGGGGAGCCGAGTTGAGTGAACTGTGCCCGGCATCGGCAACGCGTCAGTATCAAGTGGGGTCTCTTCGTTTCTTTGCTGGAGTGCTTCAGAAAGCCAGAGAGCCAGAGCAAACGAACCTGTCCAGGATGTGTCGTCAGCCGGTGGCCGAGCTCTGCGGCTACCCTTCCAGTCTCCGCTAGCACCTCGGATGCAAAAGGGGCAAGTTTGTATCCGTGTTCGTTGTGACTAGCAAACGGAAACATTTCTGAGCTGAGCCGCATGAAGCGGATGCCGTAGCGTTCGTTCCACCGCAACATTTTGACAATATCGCGTGCGTTGGCCATGCCGAGACCTTGGACAAACTTCAAGCCCCTGGCCCTGTCGGCCACTTTGGACTTGTCAAGTCTGTTCCGAGTCGGGTGCTCTGGCTGCGTTGGGTCACACAGCGGGTACCGATGGTCGATGATGGAAGCCATCCGGCACGTCCGCGAGCTGAAGACAGGCGTTCTCCCTGACCTCAAATAAGTATTTAGACATGCCTATGGGGCAGTACATGACACGGCAGGGTAGGTTAGCACTTTCTCCCAGGATACCGATGGGCTGGCGACACAGCTCCTGACAGTTCCTTGGGGAAGCCAAGAAATGGAGGGAAGTGGCAACGCACATATCCTAGACGGCCTTTCCAAGGCAGCGGCAAAATGTCGCTATTTACAGGTGGAGCCCGCGCTGCGCCTCTGTCTGCCGGGCTGGCCGTTGGAGTCGGCTTTTTGATCAGGACCTCCGCGGACCCAGCCTCCTTCAAGGCGTGACGCGAACCGCCCGCCTCCTTGTCGGAAGATGAGCGGCCGTAGAGGTTGGCTGTCATCGAATGACCGGGAGCCGCGGCGGCAGAGGCTTGAGCCTTGATGCTCATCTGCCCCTGACGTCCTCGGGTAGCCGGCGACTCGTCTCGGGACTGATGGTCTCTCTGAGCTAGTCGCGGCTGGAGCGCGACAACTGTGTTGATGCTCTCCTCGACCTTGAGTCGCTGTCGCTTCGTCATGCGCTGCAGCCTCCTCTCCATCCGTGCTAGCCCCTGGAGCACGTGCTGGACGCCCTTTGAGTCGTCCTCCGATTCATGCCTGAAGGCCTCGCCATCAGATGCTGTCGTGTTGGATTCAGGGCTGGCAGGCGCGCCGAGCGCTGTCGGGTTGAGCCCCATAGCGGCCCGTTCGGCGCGAACCCTAACGGTAGGCTCACTGTTGTCGTTTGTCGTGGCCGTTTCACTCTGCTTCACTGGGGGTATCCCCTCAGTTTTGACCAGCCTGGTTGAGCGTCGAGGTGTTGTAGCTTGGGTGCTTTCAGCGCCGATATTGGCGGTGACCAAGTCAACAGCGAGGGCTAGGTGTGGCCCTATATCCTCGCTTGTCTTCCGATAGCCGCCATCCACGGCGCTGGATTTTTGCCGGGGCGCCATGGCGAAGCAGCCTTGATATAGCTACCACGAGGAGGGTGACAGAGGTAGGGTGGACCCTGCCGCTGGTCCGCCACGACGTGATTGGGTAGGGAGACACGAGGCGCTTCCGGAGAAGAGTGTCCGGGTTGCAGAGGGGCAGCGAGGGGCTGAAGCTGACAGCCGCAACAGGGCCTCGAGACACATGCAAGGGATGTGGGAAGCACCACGCCACGGTACCTGGGCAGACACTTGGCGATCCGGGTCGACGGCAACAGCGAGAAGGCGGGCGGGGATGGGAGAGCAGGCAAGTTCCCGGGGGTGCGGTGCCTTGAGAGCTCGCGCTGGCCGCTCTCTTTAATGGCGGGCAGAGGGCAAAAGCTCTGTGCACCTCGAATTCAATGACAGCAGCCTTCTTCTTGGCGCAGACGGACGGCGGCTAGCGGAGGCAGAGGGCTGGCCAACGACGGAGGGCCTTGTCCGGTCGCACGCCCGCCGTCGATGATGCGTCTGCTGGTGTGATGGATCTCCAGGTGCACATCGAGATCCGGGGGCTGCGAGAGAAGGGGGCTCACCACGGGGAATGACAGCTGGGGCGACATGGCGTGCAGATCTGGGCTCGTCGCGGGTGCAGCAGCGTCACGGGCGTGGAAGCAGCACGACTTAAAGAAAAGAAAGGAAAAACAATAAATTGCTGCTCTGCTGTGCTGCTCTTCGCACGACCTCTCCCAGGCCGATCCCGCACCCAAAAACCAGATCTGTGATCTCATCAATGACCTAATCAAGGCAGCCGCACCCGCGATTGGGCGTGCGGCCCTCCCTAGAGGCCCTGCACCGCGCTTTCAGAATGCCATGCCGAAATTGAATCACGCCAGCCACTGGGGGGACTTTGGTGGCATTGTCTTATCGCTTATTGGGAGATGGGCAAGCACCTCCAAGACAAAAAAAATGATACACCAAAAGAACGGAAAAGTGGAGAACTTTCCCCCAAATGGACTCAACAGCCTCTGACAAGCAATAAACAATCAAATGTATAAACTCCAGGAAAATTATAAAAATTTAAAGAAAAATGTCATTTAAAACTGTTGGTTATAAATTTGGTACTTTGAGTTTTTGTAAATTTTTGATAGGATATTCCGCTGGGAAGCCATTGGTGAATGAAA